TTAGGGGTCTTTGTGTTGGGTTGAACTCCATGTATGGGGTCGAACTGGAGAATCCTTTCCCCCCGACCGCTCACCAGAGAAGGGTTTTGGAGTTTCTTCGTTCACAGTCGCAAGTCGTTTCCTCGTGGGAAGATCGCTTGGAGGAAACCAACTGGCATGATTTCTTCAGGTTGAAGACAGTAGACTACACTGGAGAGGAGGTTCTGTGTGCCCAGTACACCACGTGGGATAACCTGGTGCCGGCTATGCCCAAAGAGATCGCCTCTGTTCCTCTAGCAGAAGTGTGTGAGTTAGGATGCCGGCACTATGTCGAGAACTTCCGATCGTATGTTCTTCCCGAGGAGCTACAGCAGCCAATGAAGCCGCCACGAGTTCTCGTTGCTTTCCTGGTTGGAGGCTTGGATTGAAGTGTGCCGGGGGCTGCTGGGATCTGGTGTGTGTATCCCCACGCTAGAACAAGACCTATTTCATGTTGATGGACAGCCGCTTCTCAACGGACTTTTCGGAGTCCCCAAAGGAGAGGAGGAGGAGCAAGGCATACCCATTCACCGCCTAATCATGGATCTCCGACCGTGCAATAAGGTGGTTAGAGGTATAGAAGGAGACGTTGCCACGCTACCCAGTTGGGCAACGATGGCACCACTGAAGTTGATGCCCAGTGAGGACCTAGTGATTTCATCAGAAGACGTGAGGTGTTTCTTTTATATTTTCAAAGTGCCTCGTGAATGGTCCGCCTTCTTAGCCTTCAATCGTCCTATCCCCCCAGAGCTATGTCCTGATGATCAGGGGACCTACTATTTGGCGTCCCAAGTCCTTCCTATGGGATTCAAGAACAGTGTCAGCCTAGCAGCAGAGCTGGTGGCAACACTAGCGAAGGCCTGCAGGCACATCAGGAGATTCGGAAAGATCGGCCGTTCACAGTTCATCGAGAGCTTCATCGTGTGTACTTGGACAACTTTGACTTGCTGGAAAGAGTGGACAAGCGCACGACTGCGCTCCTACAACAGGAGTTGGGTGAGAGCGTCCTTGCACTACGTCATGAGTATGAGAGGTGGGGAGTCCCTCGCCGCCCGAAGAAGTTTACGATCCGGGCAAGTAAAGCCGAAGTCCAGCGAGCCTATCCGAAGCCAGCCAAGATCCTCAAGTACGCCCAACTGGCCAGTCTCCTTGTAGGGGAGAAGCGATGCTCAGTGAAGCAGGCTCCAGTGGTGGCCGGAGGGCTCGTGTACATGAGCATGTTTCGCCGACCGCTCGTAGGTTCGCTCAATGCCTTGTGGAAGTTCATCGAGTCGTTCAAGGGCTATCCAGTTATCCAACAGATTCCCAGTGAGGTCAAGCTGGAAGTGGCTCGCTTCGTGTGTCTTATCCCCTTGGCCCAGATGGACTTTAGACTGGACATCAGCCCCGAGGTCACTGCAAGCGATGCCTCCACTACAGGGGGGAGGACTCACGGTAAGCACAGGCTAACAGGTTTCGGGCAAGCAGCGGCAGTGGCATCCATTCGCGGAGACCTACCTGAACCTTCCGATGTCTGCGCGGTTCTCACGGTGGGTCTCTTTGATGGTATAGGGGCCCTCCGAGTGGCGGCTGACGCCTGCCAGCTTCCAGTTTTAGGTCACATCAGCGTGGAGGTCAAGAAGGAGGCCAGTCGAACACTTGAGAGCAAGTTACCCTCCACAGTCTTCGTTGAAGCCGGGGTTGAAGCGGCGGATGATGAGATGGTTAGAAGTTGGGCATGCCGTTTCTCTCAGGCAGCAGTGGTGATCCTATAGGAGCTGGCCCGCCTTGCCAGGGCGTGAGTGGACTGAACAGTGAAAGGAGAGGAGCTTTGAGAGACCATCGGAGCTGCTTGTTCAGCCATGTTTGGCGCATCAAGGAACTCCTGAAGAAGCACTTTGTCTGGGCGCAGGTAAGGTATCTCACTGAGAATGTTGCCTCGATGGACGATTCCGATCGCTCAGCCATGACGGATCCTTCAATGATCGATGCTGCCGGAGTATCGTTGGCTCGACGACCAAGGCTGTACTGGTTTGACTGGGTCCTACTAGGGGAGGGGCTGCGCATCTGGCCGTATAAAGGCAAAGGGCCCAGTGCTTTCCGTGAAGTGGAGCTCAGCAGTGAGCTGGATCCGAAGGAGTACCTGCAACAGGGCAGCACAAAGGCAAGCGCAGAGTTGTTTCCTACGTTCACCACCTCGAGACCCAGGAGCCACCCAGGTAGGAGGCCAGCAGGACTAGAGCGGCTCACGCCAGAGGAGAGGCAAGACTGGGAGGATGATGCCTATCGGTTCCCACCATACCAGTATCAGAGGAAATTGTCCATCACCGACTCGAATGGCCGACATCGTCTTCCCAATATCCGAGAACGGGAAACCATCATGGGGTTTCCAAAGGACTATTCCCTCCAGTGCATGAGCAAGCAGTTTCATGGGCAGCCGAAGCATGAGGACGAACGGAAGAGCCTCATAGGTAATTCATGGAATGTCACGGTAGTGACATGGCTGCTGGCCCAATTGGGCTACCAACTGGGTCTCTGTCCACTTCTTACACCACAGCAAGCAGTTCAGGCTACAGCCCCCGGTCGGTCAGCAGCCCTCAGCGGTCTCCTACAACGTCAAGCCATGAGGAAGATGCCCAAAGGGCCCGTGCAAGGGGAGTATGACCTCGTGTCGAAACTCCTAAACTTGGTCAGCCTGAAAGGTGAGGATATCATGGTTCAGGCACCTACAGGGGAGACCCTTCGGTACCATCGTCTTCGAGCGAGTCTCCCAGCCTCATTGTGGACCTGGAAAACTGTCATGGGCTGGCCTTGGCGAGGCAGTCCGGAACATATCAACGTTCTAGAGTTGCGAGCGGTACTTACCTCTTTGAGATGGCGCATTGTCAAGAAGCATGCCATCCGATCAAAATTTGTGCACATGATCGATAGTTTGGTGTGCCTCCATTCGCTCTCTCGCGGCCAAGCAGCAGCCGCAAACTTCGTCGTACCATGAGTCGTGTGAACGCTTTGCTCCTGGCCAGTGGCTCCCATGCCGTACGGGCGTATGTCCATACGGGGGACAACCCTGCGGACCGGCCTTCCCGGAGGCCGGTGAAGAAGAAATGGTAGGACGCAAAGCTGCCCATCTTGAGGGCAGGGACAAAGCCACACGACAACAACAACGACGAATACTTGGCCCGTTGAGGAATCTCACTGTACAACCAGCCACTCGTGAACATTACGATCGTGCACTCGAAAAGTTCCGACAGTTTCTAAAGGAAGAGAACCGTCAATTCCCTCGTGATCCAGGTCCCCTTGATCATTGCAGAGCCAGTACATCGAGGTGCTATGGGAAGGAGGCGAGGGCCGAGCCCTAGCAGCGGATACGATTGCCTCAGTACAAGACCATCTTCCAGCAGTTAAAAAGGCAAATTAGCAGCATCGTGGAGATTGATGAAAACTTGGGCAACCAACGAGATACCGAACCGGGCTCCGCCGCTTCCTCTCGAAGCCCTGGAAATGACGATAGGCCAGAGCCTGTTTCAAAAGGATGATCTTTTTGCCCTTTCGCTCATGCTCGCCTTTCATGGACTCCTAAGAACAGGGGAGTTGCTGGGGGTTCACAAAGCTCATTGCCAACAATCAGGTCCACGCAGTGTCGCGGTCCTGTCCCTGGGGTTAACTAAAGGGGGCAAAAGGCAAGGAGCAGCGGAGAGCATCACGATCAGAGAGGAAGACACCCTTCGTAGACTGTGGCAGTGGAAGAATAATCACCACACTCCCGTAGCATGTTGTGTGAGGCCCCACACGCTTGGCGTCAGAAGTTTGCCGCTTGCTTGGAAGCCTGCGGTCTCAGTGACCACCAGTTTCGCCCCTACAGTCTAAGACGAGGGGGGGCCACCTGCTACTTTTCAAGATACGGTTCACTAGACTGGCAGGCTGCAAAGACGGCCAGGGTGTACATAAACGAAGGACTTGCCACTTTAGCCGAATTGCGACTACGTACCAACTCTCAAGCACAGGCGTACAAGCGCCAGTACACGAGATCCAAGAACTTAGAGCTCCAACCCCTTGAGCGTGCCCAGAAGGGCAGGCCAGGGGAAAATGGAAAGAGAAAGAAGTCTCGAAGAAAGAAGGGCAAGAAATAGCCCATTTTTCCCGAATTTGAACCGCCGGCGGTATAAAAATGCACAGGATAAGGGATGAGCAGGGTAGTGGCCTGGACGTACCCCGGACTGGC